AAGAGAAAGACATAGAGAGGTACGTGGGAAGTACAGACAACAAAGATGAACCCTTTTGCACATATAGTATGGTGTGGTCAGTGAAGGCAAACATGAGCATATGGGTGGATGAATGGGCGGACAGGCTTAACTAGTAGTTATCTCTATGAAGTGGGGAGTGAACCCAAGAACATGAGTGGGGTTGGCAGACAATGGTTCTGTAACTTTTATGTGTATGATCTGAATTCCTAGGTATATAGTGGAGCTGACAAGGGGCAAGGCTGTAGTCACTGCTTGGTCACAGCCAGCTACCCAGAAGGACCAAGTAGTTGAACCTGTGGGCTAGGGACCATAGTCACAGAGGACATCAAGCTCAATTGGCATAACATACTACACAAAACACTGTTCCACCTCCTACTTTGGCGAGTAGTAACTGGGATCTTAAAAGCTTGCAAGCTTCCATCTACATGCAACAATGGGTCTCTCCTCGTCCAGAGCCAAGAAGAATGAAGAAAAACAAAAATTCATGGAAAAAATTAGTCCTAGCGACTGGTACACCATCCAATCTGCAGCCTATACGACTATGACACCAGAAGAACTAAATGGTACCTGGCTGCTACATCAACCACTTAGAAGAGGATCTATGTAGGAGATCCTGGATAGACAGGGAGAACAATGTGGAACAAAACTCAAAATCATTTGGAAAAAAAAAAGGGGGGGGGGGGACCAGGTTTGCTGGTCTGATAGAGCCTGGTGGAACCCCTAGCTGCCCTTCAGGTCTGGAATTGAACCCCACCTGCAGCTTCCAGCCAAACAAAAGACAGGCGTATGAGTTGAATATTTACCTGCGGTAGATACACTCCCTGGAGAGAACAATCACGGGAGAAAGAAGGGCTATTTATGCACAGGGAGACAGCTCAGGGAGCAGGAGTGCATGGAGGGATGGACACAGGGAAGAGGTAACTATGGGGAGGAAGTGGGAGGGGAGCTGTTGCATTGTGGTAAATTGTAGTCAATGTCATGAGACAAAGTGTACGTGAACTGCTGTATGGAAAGTGTATTTGCTCTGTAAATTTTCACCCAAATCACAATAAAAAGAAAGTAAATAAAATAATAAAGATCACATTAAGGGTAAAATATCACAACTGATTATTGTTATTTCTGTCAATAAGTTGTACAGCTGTGAAAGTTGTGAGATGTATTTACAATGATGACAAAATAAGAAAAAGTACCTGCTGAGGTTGCTTATATAAACCAAACACCTCAAGAGATTTGGTTCCTTGGTTGGGAAGCTTAGGCTCAAGGTTTTATGGGACTTCCGAGTTAATTGGTCTGATAATGTGTTTAGTGCTTCTGCTCTGTCATCTAGTTTCTTGCATACTGCCTAGGGTCTTAAAAGCTTGTAAGTGGACATCCAAGAGCCAACAATTGTTCTCTTTTAGCTGAAGCAACAGAGGAAGGACAGTCAGGAGCAGAAGGATATGGAATGTGTGGCTAACTGATTCCATGAACAACTGCCTCCTTTGCCATCAACCAGAAGAAACAGATGGTACTGAGCTACCGTTATGGAACATTTTCATCCAACATCACTTAGAACACTCCAACCCTGGACGGAGTGGGAGAAACACGTAGAACAAAACTCAAAATCATAAAAAAAAGATCAGGCTTACTGGTCTGATAAGAGACTGGTGAAACCCCCGAGGCTATGGCCCTAGTCACGCTTCTGGCCTCACTCTCATGGCTTCCAGACAAACAACAGACAGGTATGCGGGGTGAACATTTACACCAGGAGATACACTCCTTAGAACGATCAACCATGGGAGATCAGCAGGGCAGTGTTTACTCAGGGAGACAGTTCAGAGGGTAGGAAAGCCTGAGAAAGAAGGACACAGGGAAAAGGTAAGCACACAGAGGAAGTGGGAGGAGCACTGCTACATTATGGGGATTGCAGTCAATGTCATGAAATAAAATGTGTATTACTTGTTGTATGGAAAAGGAATTTGCTCTGTAAACTTTCACCCAATTCACAATAAAAAAATTTAAGAAAAGAAAAAAGATTACCTAGAACACTCCTGATAAAAGGAGGAAAATACAGAACAGAATTTCAAATTCTCACAGACCCTAAACTTCCAAGACCCATAAGGGTGGATGAATCCCTGAAACTACTCCCCTAAGACAATCTTTAAACCTTAACCCAAAACTATCTCCTGAAGTCTTCTTAACACCAAATAGTAGAGCTCAAGTAGTAAAAAAGATCTACTTTAAGTATTATGTC